AAAAACACTTTTTGTAATATTTTTCTCCTCTGAAAACGGAAAAGAAAGTAAGAGACGATAATTGGAGTCACGCGAGGTAGTTGGCAGTGGGGTCTAGTCTTGGCCCCACAAAAAAAATTGGCCATTAGCCAACTACCAAGTGCCAGACAATCCGATAAAAACGGTCTCGCTACGCAAACGCTAAAAACGACCGCGGAGAGAGCGGCCGGAGTGCTGTGGTTATGGATAGGCAAGAGAAAATGGGTGAAAATCTAGTTTTAGTCCTATATCTTATTAGATTTATAAGTTTTAACCTCTTATTTTATATTATGATACTTTTAATCCCTCACTTACTAGAATTAAAGAAAATAACTCACACTTATAACATTTTGTTAGTTTTGTTAAGTGACTGTCAACTTTACTACCTGGCTATTAGTTAATTGTTAATTGGTAAAAACTTACTTTTAACTAATAAAATTAATAATCAGTTAACAGAACTATTCTGTTAGTTAATAATTAACTCTATTAGTTGACTATTAGCTGACAAAAACTTACTTTCAACTAATGTAATTAACAGTTAACTAATAGAGTTAACAATTAATTAATAAAGCTAACAAAATATTATAAAATGAGGATTATTTGCTTCAATTTTAATAAGCGAGGGGTTAAAAGTGTCATTAGGATAACTTGAAAAGTTAAAACTTATAAATCTAATAAGGTCAAATGTTAAAAGTAAGTTTTTGTCGAAAAATGCACATGTAAGGGATGTAAAGTTTTTTTTTTTTTTTTTTTTTTGGAAAAAGGCAAGTTTTTCATTAAACGTTAGATGATATGTACAATTTCCTCCCAGGTATACCCGGGGAATTACACCCTTCAGATCTTTAATCTCAAAAAATTAACTATTTCATTATATACATCCTTTTCAACCACAAACTTACTAAGAGTTACTCTTCTATTTCTTTCCTGCCAAATCATATATATAGTGGCAGCTACTGCAGCCTTTAACTTGTTTGACTGCGTCGATCGACCTTTACATGCCTTCTTTAACCATTGCCATTCAAGACTCCACCTTTTTGGTTGTCTGTGAATATTCAAGAAGTCCAAGACTAACCTCCACACTTATTTAGCAAAACTACAATAAAAAAACAGGTGCTCACAAGTTTCATCATATCTACCACACAAGCAGCACCCTTTTCTCAATTCTCATACCTCTACTTGTTAGCAAATCTCTAGTTTTTAGTCTACCCCGCAATACCAACCAAAAGATGAAGCTATGTCGTGGGAAAATGCACCCTGCCCAGAAAATATGATGCCATTCTACCTTAGGGTGTTTCACTCTTAGGAACTCATAGCAACTCAAAATAGTAAACAAACCATTCTTTGCAGGTTTCCATACAGCCTTGTCCACTTGTTGAGATAGTTTTTGACATCTAATAATCTGGACAAGCATGGGATGTCTTCTCCCAAAACTATCTGGAATGGTCCAATCTAAACCATCCTACCACTCACTAACTGTAAGGTCATGGCCCCAAACAGCAATCTCATCCTTTGAGATCAACTCACAGAACCTTAACTCACCTGCCCACCAATCATAGAATAGTGACACTTGTCTTGCATCTCCCACTTGCATCCAAATGATATTTTTCAGTAGAGGATGAAGTTTTAAAACTTGCCTCTATGTCCAAGCACAATCCGTTGGGATTTTAACCTTCCAAAAATTTTCACCCCTCAACAGCACCACCTGTGCCCACTTAACCCATAGTGACTCTTGATGTTGACATATATTCCAAACCAATTTGCCTAATGCTGCCTTATTCCAATGCAGCAACTACTTCACCCCTAGTCCCCCTTCTTTCCTTGGCACACATACATCATCCTATGCTACAGGAGACATTGCATTATAATTCCATTTACCACACCAAATGAAATTTCTACAAGCAGCATCAATTAGCTTTAACACTTTCTTAGGAATCAATAAAGCACCACTCCAAAAAACTTGAATGTGGAATAAAACAGAGTTAACTAGTTGAACTCTACCTGCATATGAAAGAAATTTCGTTGCCCAAGAGCCAATTCTCTGATGAATTTTATCGATAATAGGTTGACATGCCCCAGGAGACAGCTTTTTTGAAATCAAAGGCAACCCCAAATATCTAACTAGAAGCTGTCCCTCAGCAAAACCCAACTTTTGAATTAAAGCAACTTTCTGCCCTTCTCTAACACCACTGAAGATAACCTGACTCTTCATTCTATTCACTTCCAACCCAGAGACTCGAGAAAACTCCTCAAACTTTTGCACCATCAAAACAGTGGACTCCTCATCAGCCTTACAAAAAAGCATAATGTCATCTGGAAAGATCAAGTGCGTAAGTTGCATCACTCGACACTTGCTATGATATTTAAACTTCTCCTGCATATCTAACTCCTTCAATTTCCTTGTGAGATATTCCATCACTAGCACAAATAGATAAGACGAGATTGGATCACCTTGTCAAAGCCCTCGTTGCCCCTGAAAATAACCCTTTGGTTGTCCGTTTATCAATACAGAAAATCTGGTAGTAGAAACACAAAGCATAAGCCAGTTAATGGATCTATCAGGGAAGTTCAGCCCTCTTAACATTGCATTTACAAAACCCCAATCCATTGAATCATATGCTTTTTGTAGATCAATTTTCATTAAGCATCTAGCTGGCCCCCTACTTCTATGATAGTTCCTCACCAGATCTTGGCAAATCAATAAATTTGTCGTTATAGATCTGCCCTTCACAAATGCAGTTTGATTACTGTTAACCAGCATGCTTAGCACTTCATTAATCCTCTGGGTTAAGAGCTTTGATATCACCTTGTAGATGACATTACAACAAGCTATTGGCCTATAATCACTGACAACATTTGGGCAACTCACCTTCGGAACAATAGTAATATTGGTGGCATTAATTTGCTTGAGGATTTTCCCACTGTCAAAGAAATCCAACACAACAGCCGTGACATCATTTGTAACTATTGACTAGGCTGCTCTATAGAACCCTGAAGTGAATCCATCAGGCCTTGGTGACTTGTTAGAAGGAATTGAAAATAGGGCAGTCTCCACTTCCCTAGCAGTAAATGGCCGGCATAACTCTTCTGACTCTTCAGTAGTTAACACTTTGCCCCTGCGAATAACATTCATATCAACTGCTTGAACACCTTCTTTTGCCTTTCCAAACAAGTTTTGATAGAACATTAAAAGCTCTTGTTCTATAAGTTCAGGCTAAGTCACTCTAACTCCTTCACTGTTCAGGATGGAGTTAATAACACTTCTATGCTGCCTCTCCTTTACTTTAGCATGAAAATAAGCAGAATTAGAGTCCATCTCCTTTAGCTAAGTTACTTTAGCTTGCTGGGCAATTACGAACAGATTTGCTCTCTCAAGCTTAGTTAATTCACGCTGAAGTTCCTTTTCCTTTGCAGCCAAAGTCTCATCAAATAAAGCATTCTGCATGGAAGCTTGAACATTTTGTAGCTCTACTGCCATATCTTTTATTCTTCCCTCCAAATTTCCATATCTATTTTTATGTAGCTGCTTCATCTTCTGTGTTACCAATTTCAATTTCTGCACTAGAACAAACATAGGGCATCCTTGAATATCCACACTCCAAGCTTCCCTAACCAGATCAAGGAAGTTTTCATCCTTAGACCAAGCATTGCAAAATCTAAATAGCCTTGGTTTCTCGTTCATCAATACATCCACAGTCACTAAAGAGGGTGAGTGATTTGAGGATTGTGGATTTAGAAAGACAACATAAGTATTTGGGAATGCACTAACCCATGTTGAATTAGCCATTACCCTGTCCAGCTTGCACCACAGCCTGTCATTTTCCCCTTGCTTATTACTCCAAGTGAAGAAAGCACCTGAAAATTGCAAATCAAAAACCTCCATTCTACTGACAAAATCCTTGAGCTCAGAGGTATCTCCCCAAACAACTACACTAGGCTTCACCCTTTCACCATAATTTAGAGTTGTATTAAAATCTCTAGAAATTATCCATGGCACATTTTCAACGTCTAGAGCTCTAAATTGATCCCATAATGCTACTCTACCATCAAAAGTATTAAAAGCATAAACAATTGTGCACAAAAATTTAACATCCCCAACTGTAGAGCATACTTCAACATGTAGCAATTGGTCTGTTTGTATTACTTCGGTCACCCTCAAATCTGTTTTATTCTATAATATCCAAATTCTACCATTAGGATGAGAGTTATAATTATTCAACCATCCCCATTGCCTACCAAAAGTTTGCACAACTCGACTACTATTCTCTTGCTTCACTCTAGTTTCTAATAAAGCCATAAACTGAACTTTATTTGAAAGCATAAACTTTTTAACATCTACTTGTCTTATAGGGTCATTCAACCCCTCACATTCCATGAAGAAAGATATATCATGAGAGAGATTTACTTACAGAAGATTCTCCCCCTGCTGCCTTTTGCATCATCTCTTTATCCCCTGTGCCAGTACTAGTCTCACTCTGCAGATTCACTGACTTCATAACTCCCACTTCCAGTTGCACTGGACTTTGCTCATTGCTTTCCACTATCAGCTTTCCAGAAGTATGTGAAAGTGTACTCTGCTTCACATTTGCTGAATTAGTAGCAGTTTGCACTTCACCACCACATAATTCATCATTCCCCTCAGAAGACTTCGTGCCAACTATTTGATTTACGACCTGCTCCTTGGCAGGTTTTTTTGGAACCCACACCTTTTTTGCCTTAGCAGTACAATTTCTCTCTTCATGCCCTAGGTTTCTACATTTACCACATCTGACAATCTCCCATTCAAAGACCACGGGCTACTGGAACACACCCTTAAGACCAATAATAGGAACTACACGGGGCAGAGTGTCCATGATTTCCATCTCTACTAGCATACGAGCATAAGCCACTCTTTGCCTTTTAGCTGTTAATGCATCAGTTGCAATAGGAACTCACACATAGCTTGCTAGCTTTCCTAAGCTCTCAGGGTTCCAAAGACTCAAATGGAGTTCAGGAAATTGGATCCAGACAGGAATCTTACCGATATCCAAATTGTCAAGATCAAAATCTGGAGTCCACTGTTTCAAAATCAAAGGGTGCCCATTAAATGTCCATCGCCTCTCTAGCACCGCCTGCTTTGCATCTCCATTACCAAAATCAAACAAGAAAACTCCATTTCGCAGCATAAATGCCTTTGGCACCTGTTATTCCCTCCACCTGTTATTCACAAAATTAGCTACATCCTTAAAATCAGGTTTAAATCCCAAAACATACCCAACAAGAGCATTCTCCCAAATCTTTGACCCTTTAACCCACTCATCCTCAGTAATAACCACAGCACTAGTTGGATCTTGAGGTTTTATGTATTGCAAATCCCATCCTTTACTGATATCCCTATTCCCTTCCACAACCGAAGCCCAACTACGCAGTGGCTTTTGCTTTAGGGATGGGTAAAATTCCCCTTTCTCCTTCTCAATCAAGTCACTCCACCGAGCACTAGGAGACATTGCCGTACCGGATGGAGAACCAGCGTCCTTTTCCCCAGAAGGTTGCTTCATCTGGATGACAAAAGGTTGAGTCTTCGAGCACACTCCCTTCTTCCCCTTCGCTACTTTCCCTTCCATGGGGCCAGCCTCGCTCTTCCCTTTATCTGCTCTTCCATCCCTGGGACCAGCATCGAATCTGCTTTTCCTCTGGCCTTGCGTCGAAACTGCTATGTCTAGCAAATTCCTTCAGCGTCCCCTTCTTTCCCCCCTAGATCTGGACTCAAACGCC